ATGATGCTATTTATTGGTCCAGTGGTGAGGATTTTTGGTTTCTTTATTTTGAGGTGAGATTCATACTGAAGGTTGTAGTCATTGATCTTCATCAGTAAGTATTTAAGTCCTCTTCACTTTCAGCAGCAAGGTTACATCATATGTGTAACCTTGTAGGTTGTTAATGAGTCTTATTCCAATCCTGATGCCACATTCTTCTTCATATAAGCCATTTCTTGGATTAGTTGCTCAACATTCAGATTCAGTAAGTATGGTGAAAATACACAACCCTGTCCTACAGCTTTCCTGATTTTAAACTATTCACTGCCTATTGGTCTGTATACAGGTTCCTCATGAGCACAATTAAGTGTTCTGTAATACCCATTCTTCACAGTGTTATCCATAGTTTGTCACGATCCACACAGTTTAAAGCCTGTGCACAGTCAATAAAGCACAGGCAAACATCTTTCTGGTATTCTCTGCTTTCAATCAAGATCAATCTGATGTCAGCAGTGATATTCCTACTTCCATGTCCTCTTCCGAATCTGGCTTGTATTTCTGGCAGTTCCTTATCGATGTACTGTTGCAACCATTTTTTAATTATTTGAAGCAAAATTTTAGTTCAGTTCTTTCATCTTGAGAAATGCTGAGCGTATTCTTCCCTTTTGATTTTCTAAGTCCAGGTCTTTGCACATTTCATTATAACACTGTATAATAATTGTCTTATCGAGCTGCCCTTTTGAATTTTCTGTTCAGTTCTCTTATTTCGTTTTAACTTCTTTATGCTCAAGAGCAAGTTTCAGAGTCTCAGATCCATTTTTGTCTCTTCTTTCTTTCCTGTCTTTTTAATGACCTTTTACTTTCTTCCTGTATGATGTTCTTGATGTCATCCCACAACTCCTCTGGTCTTCGAGCATTAGTGTTGAATGCATCAAATCTGTTCTTGAGATGATCTCTAAGTTCAGGTAGGATATATTCAAGGTCATATTTTGGCTCTGATGGACTTGTTTTAATTTTCTGCAGCTTCAGCCGGAACTTGCATATGAGCAATTGATGATCTATTCCACAGTCTGCTCCTGGCCTTGTTTAGGCTAATGAGTGTTTCCACCATCTATTCCCACACATATAGTCAATTTGATTCCTGTGTATTCCATCTAATGAGGTTCATTTTATGTTGTTTAAAAGGTATTTGCAATGATTAAATTGTTGGTTTGGCAAAATTCTATCATGTGATTTCCAGCATCATTTCTATCAGCAAGGCCATATTTTCCAACTATTGTCCATTTCTCTTTGTTTCCAACTTCCAAATTCCAATCACCAGTAATCATGCATCTTTATTGCATGTTTGATCAATTTCAGAATGAAGAAGTTGGTAGAATTTTACAGTTTCAACATCACTGACTTTAGTAGTTGGATTTGTTTTCATTTTCTTCAGCTTCAGTCTGAACTTGCTTATGAGCAACTGATGATTCCACAATTGATCCCTGGCCTTGTTTTGCCTAATGATATGGAACTTTTCCACCATCTCTTTTCACAGATGTCAATTTATTCCTGTATATACCATCTGGTGAGGTCCATGTATATAATTACCTTTTATGCTGTTTATAAAAGTATTTGCAATGAATACATTATTTGTCTTGCAAAATTCTGTCATGAGATCTCCAGCACCATTTCTATCACCAAGGCCATATTTACCAACTACTGATCCTTCCTTTATGTTTCCAACCTTCACATTCTAATTACCAGTAATTATCAATACATTTTGATTGCAATTTCAGACTGAAGAAGTTGGTAGAATTTTTCAATTTCATAATCTCTGGTTTTTGTGGTTGGTGCATAAATTTGAATAATAGTGGTATTAACTGGTCTTCTTTGTTGTTATTGTTAAGTGCTTTCAAGTCAGTCCCAACCTATAGCAACCCTGTATAGGGTTTCGGAGGAGCAACTGGTGAGCTTGAACTGTCAGACTTGCATTTCAAACTGACTTTGCAGTCCAGTATATTAACGCACAGTGCCACACTAGGACTTCTAAAGGTCTTCCTTGTAGGTGTATGGGTATTATATCACAGACAGCATTGTATTTCAAGATAGATCTTGACATGTTCTTTTTGATGATGAATGCTATGTCACTCCTCTTCAATTTGTTATTCCTGGCATAGTAAACTGTATGGTTGTCCAATTTTAAATGACTAATACCAGTCCATTTCAGCTCACTAATGCCTAGGATATCTGTCTTTATGCATTCCATCTCATTTTTGACAACTTTCAGTTTTCCTAGGTTCATATTTTTACATTACATATTCTGATTATTAGTGGATGTTACAGCTGTTTCTCTTCCTTTTGAGTTGTGACCCATCAGCAAATGAAGGCCCTGAAAGCCTACTCCATTCACATCATTATGGTCAACTCTACTTTGAGGAGGCAACTCTTCCCAGTCATATTTTAAGTGCCTTCCAACCTAAGGGGCTCATTGCCAGTACTGTATCTGACAGTGTTCTGCTGCTCTTCATAAGGTCTTTGATGGTTAACCATTCAGAAGTAGTTTGCCTCTCCTTCTTCCTAGTCTGTCTTAGTCTAGAAGTTCGCTGAAACCTGTCCACCATGGGTGACCCTGCTGGTATTTAAAATAGTGGTGGCATATAGCTCCCAGCAACACTCAAGCCACC